TCAGAATCTGCGTTTACTTTTTTAAGCCTACAGTCTCGAGCCACATGCCCTTTTTTGTTGTATTTAAAACGTCTCCCTTTAGACCTATAGTGATCGAATTCCATCGGTTCTTCCCCTGTTTCTGTAGTCACATGTACCTTATAGTCAGAGTTTGATCTTTATTTCGATCTTTTTCTAAGGTTTTGCTCATTCCGAGCAATGTCAATTGCTTTTTCTATCGTCGCAGGTCTGTCTCGCATTCTTAGGTGATCCTGTATGAGTTCGTCAGTAAAGTATCCTACTAGTTGTTTCTTAATTATTGGGTTGTTTCTGTCTACCTCGCCGTATGCATCTTTTGCCATCTCCAAAAGTCACCATATATCTCAACATTTTCCCCAGCTTTTTGTTTTAATTGACGTAACAGAGAGAGTTCGTCAGCTACCTCGCCAAATCTAGCAACCAGTTGGGATCTTATGTCTGTCCAGTTATTGTCAGGATGTTTGACATTTCAGACTCTACACACGAACGTCACGACATGGCTCGACTTGTGTTAATACTATTTGCTATAAGCTTGACCAGAGCAACTGAATTAAAAGAACGTGTTATTTTCCATGAAGTTAATGATATAACAGCTACTCGGAGCAGGTGGTTGGTATCATTTGTTATCGACCTTAAACCGTATGAAATGTTTATGTCCAGGTTGACAGATGACATTGTGACTGCAAGTAGGGTAACTAAATGAGTGACACAACGTTATACACGGTCTGACCAGATCGGATATGTTAACATAATAAAGGGTTTGAAACAGATGTTAAAAGATATAAAAAGAACCCAAAAAACTATCTTAAACAGTTTCTTAAATTATGCACTTCTTGGAGGAAAATACAGGACATAGCAAGGTGGGCGGTATAAATAGTGATGGAATGATCCCAGGTAGGTCAAAAAGGTCAATGTTACCTTTTGTGGGATCTACAGTGTCGTTCTTAATCGGTACTGTTTCTGATTCCAATACTGGGACAATTAAACACAACATAAATACATTAGCACAGAATCAGAAATTCTTGGCTCATGTTTTGAAATAAAGTTTAACGATAGTAAATGTTACAAGAATTAAATTAAAAGAACATCGTGAGGCCGTAAATAATTTGACTGCTGGTGTAAGGGATTTGGAAGGAAATGTGTTGAACTTTACTTTCGAATTAGGTGGTCAATTAGAAGATGCCAATGCATTTGTACAAATATTTGCGCAGCTAGACCATGCTATCGAGAATATTACATTGACGTCTCAGAGGGCAATGTTTTATTTGGAGAATTTACAGTTACGTATAAATATGCTTTCTTTAGGAAAATTATCGCCAAGCATTGTTTCGCCTGACAATGTACTTAACTTATTGACTGACGTAGAACAACATCTCCCATATGCAATAAGACTCACCACCCTAAGAAACATCTTTGAAATTATTATAGATTTTTTACCTGCACGACTGTATTAGTAGACGAACAAATTGTCGTCGTTATTTCGAATCCTCTGTTAGATGTTAATGGTCGATTTGACGTTTATGAAGTGCACAATTTGCCAATTTCAAAGGTATCGCACCATGATAATCTCTCTTCTGATGATTCGGTGGGAATGACAGCAAAATATCAAATTGAAGCTAAACACATAGCTGTTAATGCAGAGCGAACAAAATATGCTTTGTTAACAGAGAGGGAGGGTGAGGAATGTGCTTATTCAATGGTAAAATTTTGTAAAATCAGAAGCCCCATTTATCCGATTGATTTGGCTAAACTTTGTGTTACATCATTGTTTATGAAGAATCAAGATTGAATAGAACGGAATTGTCAGACTGTGGTAAGCCCACATTCAATTTACCTGTTGCAGAATATTTCACGGATGGCATGTGGGTGGTAGCTACCCAACAAGATATAGTATTTACAGTAGGGTGTTATGAAAGTCACGAGAAGATTGTCTGAAGTAATTCAGTATCGGTACATCAACCGTTGGGGATGTTGAGGTTAGATAAATCATGTTCAGCTTCTAATCGTTATTTGACATTACTTCCCTTTTATCATGAGGAATGTCAATATGATGTCAACGATCCCCTTCATGATTCATTAGATAACCACTAATTTTCAGTAAATATTTGGACACCCTTTCATCTGGCATTACCTAACTTTACTCACACAATTTTACCAAAAGTATTAAAAATAACATAGAAGAAATTCCAATGAATAATCTAATCAACCAGATATATAGTTTGGAAATTATTACTACTGGTACAGGTATTCCCAATTGGATTTACGCTATTGTAGGCGTGATTATTGTTATTGATCTTTAAATATTGTTACTTCAAATATAAATGGTCAATATTTAGTAAAAAAAATCCCTGGTCAGCCAAAATGCGAAATAGTATTGAGAATTCTAGAGATGCTCCAACTTACGAGATGGTCTTGTTGTCGTCAAACAACCGTGTTGATGGAGTGGAGGACCAGACTACGTCGGTTCCAGCATTACCATCAGCTCTATCGGCAGCTATTGAACAAACGATTGGTTGGGGGAGGTTTGTATCCAACAACAATACAGCTCAATGCCGAGGGACTGGTTAGGTCCTAACTATCCAGGGACATGTGGATTGTTTTGGGCAGAGTTCTTGTAGGTGGAAAGGTACCGAAGGACAATATGAACTAGTTTCAAAAACAATTCCTGTTTAATAATTATGTCTGACGAGGCATAATTTGCTGGAACGGGTACCGTAATGTATAAACTGACTGTGTGTCTGCTATGCAGCGAGGATTTTACCAGAGATGCTTTTAAAAAAAATGAATAAATACGGAACAATACAACACGACGATTCTAGAACTGTTGTATTTGGACAGTTTAATAACTTCATGCTCGGAAGCTGCACGTGATACGACGGAGAGCAGTGAAGCCAAGGACATTGTTAATGATGTTTATTATCGTGTGTGAATGTGTTTATATGTATTTCAGTGCTTCAAATATAGTGAAGAGGACATTCTGGTGGTGGACACTGTGATTGATATTATAGAACTGTGTTTCTAATGATGTTTTCGATAATCAGGAAAGAGAAGCCAGCGATATGATAGGACATTCCTGTGATGGACACAAGCAGTGAATTCGGTGTTTTAAAGACTTGTGTTATCATTTTTTTAGTATTTTGTCATCTATTATTAACTTGGAAAACAGTTTGCTTTCTTAAGTGGGGGAGGAATGTGACAAAATAGCTGTAAAAGTAAGATAATTAATTGGTAGTAATTAGTGTTAATTGACGATATATCTTTGTGGTGGAGGGATTATATTGATTATATTTTCTTCACATATTGGAACATGTTTTAGATAAGTTAGAAGTTCAATGTACTGTTACAGTTGAGCAGAGAGAAGGATAATTATATCAAATTAAGATTCTCTAAATTCCAAATGAACGTTCACATGCATCAATCTCAATAGTGGGTTGAGAGGTTTGATAGTTTAACAGTGGTGTAGTCTATCCATCTCTCTTATAGTATTGGCCACTGGCAGGTTGATAAGGCGAAATTTGAATTTATTAATCATATTCTCGAGACCGCGAGTTTGAGCAGAGTGTTTATAGTCATTCATGGAGATTGATGGTCAATAATTGCATCAATTAGATACCGATGGTCAATAATTGCAACAATTAGACATATGTTCTTCTCTCTGTTCTCACGATGTTTTAGGGGGGAGTTGGGCTAGGACTATCAGAGGGCACAGTTCAAGAGCGGGGAGAGCTAATCGGAACGCTCTCGAGGAGCGTGGCCTGAGAGTGAGGCGTACAAGATGTATGGGACATGTACAGCGACATGACTTGTAAGAAAATAAACACTATGCGATCACTTGAAATAACTCATTAATGTTGTGTGTATTGTGCAACACATTGTCAATCCGAGATGGCATCAAAACACCAGTCATTGGCAATCCGTAATGACATCAAAACACCAGTCATTGTCAATCCGTAATGACATCAAAACACCAGTCATTGTCAATCCGTAATGACATCAAAACACCAGTCATTGTCAATCCGTAATGACATCAAAACACCAGTCATTGTCAAACCGTAATGACATCAAAACACCAGTCATTGTCAAACCGTAATGACATCAAAACACCAGTCATTGTCAAACCGTAATGACATCAAAACACCAGTCATTGTCAATCCGAGATGACATCAAAACACCAGTCATTGTCAAACTGTAATGACATCAAAACACCAGTCATTGTCAAACCGTAGTGACATCAAAACACCAGTCATTGTCAATCCGAGATGACATCAAAACACCAGTCATTGTCAAACTGTAATGACATCAAAACACCAGTCATTGTCAAACCGTAGTGACATCAAAACACCAGTCATTGTCAATCCGAGATGACATCAAAACACCAGTCATTGTCAAACCGTAATGACATCAAAACACCAGTCATTGTCAAACCGTAATGACATCAAAACATCAGTCATTGTCAATCCGAGATGCCATCAAATTAGCAGGAATGACAACTATCACCAAACGTGAAATGTCGTCAAAACAAATGGGGAACAATTGAGATCAGCTAAAACATTGAAAGATTTTTTCTGAACTAAATTAATTTGGAAATTCAGCGAGATGATACCTGTGCTTGATATTTCTCCAAAACATAATGAATTAACGTAACTGTGAAATTAATTTCTCTCACAAATATCGTTTCTTGAATATGTAAGTGTTGTTTCTAATTACATTTTCAATTTTCAACAAGACAGCAGTAGCTGTGTTTGCTTGTTGAACGAAGGTTAAAGACGCTTCATTACATATTAAATACAGCAGTGTGACAACTAAATCATTCTAACAATGATACACTGAGAAATATCATAGACTTGATTTATATTAAATATGACAATCCTGCTTTTACCAATGCCCCTCTGGAGTGTACCGACACCCAATGTGTGCTGCTTCTTCAAAGAAACCAAGTTTCCAATCCTTCAAAACATTTCTAGAACTAGATATTAACTTACCTGATAGCCCTGAGGGGCGATAATCCATCTATCCCAGCCTATATCACTAAATTGTATGTATAGAGGGCGCCGACGACACACTGTCCCCTTCTTGTTTGCCTTTCGTTTGAAACGTTGTTGTAATGTATTTGATTCTGATTGGTTAGCCTGTGTGCCATTTAGATCCCCCATGAGGTCAAACGAGTCCATTTCATGTGTGACCATTTCGTGTCTCTCCTTCATGTGAAGCCGTCTCTTACTATATTCACTGGAGAATACCACTAGCAATGGTTCCGTCCTAGTTTTAGGACGAGCGTCAATATCTAACTCACCAAAACTAACACTGTGAAAGACATTTTCTATTCTAATTTCTAATATTTGTACAGAAGTGACATCGTTTACCCACCGTTTCACCGCCGAAGTGACGTCAAACGTCTCCCAGTTGCTATTACGGCCGTATATATGTTTTGAATTTACTAGTTTATACGGTTGGTCATTCGCAGGGATGACCTCAAACACGGACACTTTCCTGTCCACACCTATATATGCGTTTCGATCCTTTTCTACCAAGGTAAAGAGTCGGAGTTCCGCAAGGTCAACTACCTCCTCGAGAGATATACTGGTGATGTTGAAAATCATCGTATGTACCCTGGATTGTTGCGCCGTCAACGTAGCCGATGTCTCTGGAATAAACAGCATATAGGCAATTTGTAATTCATATAAGAAAACAAATTTTGAATCATATTGAGAATATATTACCCTTTACAGATAAAACTTATATTTCCTTACTTGGGGTTTTATTTTACTACTCTCGTTTATTGAGGATAATTTGCTTTTTATATACTTTACTTTAACCCCTCAATCATACTTTAGGAAAGATGCCACATTGACAAATAACTATTTCTCTGTTGATTAGTAAAGAAAATAGGCACGAAAAGAATTCAGCCATAATGTACTAACAGCATTAACAGAAATTCGTTTTATAATTTTACATTTCTGCGATTTCAAAACAAGCACACTAGTGATTAGCACCTTGCGGTACGAATTTGGAACAAGACGCAAAAGAGTCAATCAATACATTAAACTGTATCATACAGCTGTTTCGTCCTTCTAGGACTCGTCCATTATATTACATCAGACAGCTGTTTCGTCCTTCTATGACTCGTCCATGATATTACATCATACTGCTGTTTCGTCCTTCTAGGTTTCGTCCATGATATTACATCAGACAGCTGTTTCGTCCTTCTATGACTCGTCCATGATATTACATCATACAGCTGTTTCGTCCTTCTAGGTTTCGTCCATGATATTACACCATACAGCTGTTTCGTCCTTCTATGACTCGCCCTTGATATTACATCAGACAGCTGTTTCGTCCTTCTAGGACTCGTCCATGATATTACATCAGACAGCTGTTTCGTCCTTCTAGGACTCGTTCATGATATTACATCACACAGCTGTTTCGTCCTTCTAGGACTCGTCAGTGATGCTGCATCATACAGCTGTTTCGTCCTTCTATGACCTGTCCATGATATTACATCAGACAGAAGTTTCGTCCTTCGTTTCGTCAGTGATGCTACATCATGCAGCTATTTCGTCCTTTCAGGACTCGTCCATAATGTTACATCATACAGCTGTTTTGTCCTTCTACGACTCGTCAGTGATGCTTAAAGACCTATTGGCCGAAATCAAGTGGGTTGCATGAATGCGAAACTTCAATAGATTTCACAATTTCTCAATATTGATTAATTCTATATGAATGTCGAAAACTCTACGAGTATATTCTGAACTGTGCTTCTAATCAATTAAGTAATTAAAACATGCCATGCAAATTGCAGTTAACCTAAGAAACTAAAGCCCAAAATTTACTAAGGATTGACCAAATTGTAGAGAGTAGTGTACACAACACTGTAGACACCATGGCTACAAAACAGTTTACTAAAGACTGTAGACACCATGACTACAAAACAGTTTACTACAGACTGTAGACACCATGGCTACAAAACAGTTTACTACAGACTGTAGATATCATGGCTACAAAACAGTTTACTACAGACTGTAGACACCATGGCTACAAAACAGTTTACTACAGACTGTAGACACCATGGCAACAAAACAGTTTACTACAAGCTGTTAACCTATGTCATGATAGTAGTATACTACATATGTAATACATGTATCTCGCTAGTTTTTGCACTAAGGAGCGCACCAAGGAAAATGTGTCATTACTCCAATGTAAATACACTTCGATGTACGACAAAATAACAATTCTCATTCAATGTATTTACAATTGATAAAAATCAAAGCATTGATAACACTTCGTTAAAACAGCGGCGAGTTAAAATGAAACAATAGGTATCGCCAGGTGTCGCCAGGCGTCACTTGGGCGTCGTTGATAACGACATAACAACAAAATTGTTCAAAAAGCAACAGAATATTCCGATGTTTTCTTTTACTGTTTATAAATACATATATCGTGTAACTTAAGGTGACTTTCATTTCTCGTCAGATTTAAACCATATTCGTATAGAATCAAAGGCTGTAACGAACATCGCGCACTGACCATTAACACGAGCGTAAATATTATAAGTATTTCAAATTTCCCTTCATAGGTCGTATTTGTGTGTCATGAAATATCTGGACCAGGCAATATGATATGTTTTAGAAACTTTGATGGGTCAAGGGTCCAAGAGTAAGGCTTTAAATGTCCCAAAACTGACAACGGACGGTCTGCATGGGTTTTGAAATAGGAGTTGCTGTGTAAGTATGGACATAGCTGGATAATTCGGCTATCACAACTTACTCCTGCTATCGTTAGTATATCGTTATGGTGCCAGTTCTTCGCGTCAATAGTGTAGCGCAGTGTTTGTAGTGTCGGGGGTCGGCTGGCGCTATCGGAAGGGTCAGCGTGTCTTTTATGCCACACTGTCAGATGTAATGCTACAAAGCTGATATGGCTGGATTTTTACCATAATTCTGTGTAATTACTACATACTTTGGGGTTTATTGTCCAGCTTGCCAATGAAAGACACAAACAGCAAGACCGAAGATTTCTGAATCGTCTGCTATTTATTTCAAACTTGACAACATTCTCAAGCGTACTGGCTTATCGGGGACGAAGAGCTCATTCAGGGCAGGTCTCTCCAGTACGATCAGCCTTTACATGATGCATCTGCCGTGTAAATAAGTAGTAAACAAACAAACGACACTATTTCTTAATCTGTCTACTGGATTTTACACCGGGAGCAGCCAAGCTTGGCCGTACCTCCCATGTTCTTACTTTGATATGGACGATTTAGAACCTGATAGATCCGTCAGTCAGCAGCACAACACTCGTCCCTACAAAACTACAGTCACGTGATACCTGACGGACACGCATATCAACGATTTTTAATTATCATATCTCTCTCAATCTGGCTAATTTTGTAAACAAAATGAAATACTTGTTGATATAATTTTGATTGTGTGATAGCACAAGGAAGCATCAGTTGTGCGTCATCTCAAGGGGCTAACTTTATGACTGAAACACACCGATACACAAAATATCAGTAATTCTCCGTTAGGAGTATTAGAAGAGATTTATTTAATTGGAGATATACGATAGAATAATTATCTCCATTATTAAATTTAGCTGACAATGTAGCAACGAACCAGCTGCTGTACCCACCATATCGTGAGCAGATCCTACAAATATAGTCAGTGTTATACAAGTGTAGAATTCATCTACTCAACATACAAGTGTAGATCCCATACATGAACCCACTAAACGGTACCCTCTCGTGTACTCACGATACAGCGTATAGAACCACTGATATGCCCGATATACGGTGTGGAGAACCTTATCATATACCATCTATACAGTGTAGAGAACCCATCTGTTTACCGACTACGAGTTGCCGCTATACGGTGTGTAGAACCTTGTCATATACCATCTATACAGTGTAGAGAACCCATCTGTTTACCGACTATGTGTACCCGCTATACGGTGTGTAGAACCTTATCATATACCATCTATACAGTGTAGAGAACCCATCTGTTTACCGACTACGAGTACCCGCTATACGGTGTGTAGAACCTTATCATATACCATCTATACAGTGTAGAGAACCCATCTGTTTACCGACTACGTGTACCCGCTATACGGGGTGTAGAACCAACTCATTTACTCTATAAGTTGGATAGAACCAAACCATGTACCCACAATACGGTGTGTAGGACTCACTGATTTACCCACAATACGGTGTGTAGAACTCACTGATTTACCCACAATACGGTATGTTGAACTCACTGATTTACCCACAATACGGTGTGTTGAACTCACTGATTTACCAACAATACGGTGTGTAGGACTCACTGATTTACCCACAATACGGTGTGTAGAACTCACTGATTTACCCACAATACGGTGTGTAGAACTCACTGATTTACCCACAATACGGTGTGTAGAACTCACTGATTTACCCACAATACGGTGTGTAGAACTCACTGATTTACCCACAATACGGTGTGTAGAACTCACTGATTTACCCACAATACGGTGTGTAGGACTCACTGATTTACCCACAATACGGTGTGTAGAACTCACTGATTTACCCACAATACGGTGTGTAGGACTCGCTGATTTACCCACAATACGATGTGTAGAACTCGCTGATTTACCCACAATACGGTGTGTAGGACTCACTGATTTACCCACAATACGGTGTGTAGAACTCACTGATTTACCCACAATACGGTGTGTAGAACTCACTGATTTACCCACAATACGGTGTGTAGAACTCACTGATTTACCCACAATACGGTATGTAGAATTTACCCACAATACGGTGTGTAGAACACTGATTTACCCACAATACGGTGTGTAGAACTCACTGATTTACCCACAATACGGTGTGTAGACTGATTTACCCACAATACGGTGTGTAGGACTCACTGATTTACCCACAATACGGTGTGTAGAACTCACTGATTTACCCACAATACGGTGTGTAGAACTCACTGATTTACCCACAATACGGTGTGTAGAACTCACTGATTTACCCACAATACGGTGTGTAGGGCTCACTGATTTACCCACAATACGGTGTGTAGAACTCACTCACTGATTTACCCACAATACGGTGTGTAGGGCTCACTGATTTACCCACAATACGGTGTGTAGAACTCACTGATTTACCCACAATACGGTGTGTAGAACTCACTGATTTACCCACAATACGGTGTGTAGGACTCACTGATTTACCCACAGTACGGTGTGTAGAACTCACTGATTTACCCACAATACGGTGTGTAGGACTCACTGATTTACCCACAATACGGTGTGTAGAACTCACTGATTTACCCACAATACGGTGTGTAGGGCTCACTGATTTACCCACAATACGGTGTGTAGAACTCACTGATTTACCCACAATACGGTGTGTAGAACTCACTGATTTACCCACAATACGGTGTGTAGGGCTCACTGATTTACCCACAATACGGTGTGTAGGACTCACTGATTTACCCACAATACGGTGTGTAGAACTCACTGATTTACCCACAATACGGTGTGTAGAACTCACTGATTTACCCACAATACGGTGTGTAGAACTCACTGATTTACCCACAATACGGTGTGTAGGACTCACTGATTTACCCACAATACGGTGTGTAGAACTCACTGATTTACCCACAATACGGTGTGTAGGGCTCACTGATTTACCCATTACATGAGGAAACTAACCAGATTTCCTTATGTACCATCCGACACTAACGTTTTAAGTTATATAATTACTTTATCCTTCAGATCCAGTAAATGTCCTTTGATCATTTGAAACAAGACGTACATATATCGGACTGAAGCTTTCCTTTTAACACTATGACCTTCTATCGGTCTCGTTCGTGAAATATTTATGTTATTACAGTAAGCGTACAAACACATACAGCGCCGAGAAGAGTAGCGCTTTGTCGCTACGTAATCAAAACATGATTTATCAAAATAAAAAGAAGATAAGTCCTTAAAATAAGTTCAGATTTCTCTTTTCCGAAGATTTTGTCTCAGATAAATCCTAGTTTAGAAACATCCACACGTTAGACACAATTATCAATAATAGTATTTATAAACTAACCGAACTAAGACGAGTGAACGGAAGCTATCTGTGTATATAATTCATATCTATGTATATTGAATTCATGCCCGTGTATATTGATATAATCCGTGTCTGTGTATATTGATATTATCCGTGTCAGTGTATATTGATATAACCCGTGTCCGTGTATATTAATATAATCCGTGTCCGTGTATATTGATATTGTCCGTGTCAGTGTATATTGATATTATCCGTGTCAGTGTATATTGATATAACCCGTGTTTGTGTATATTAATATAATCCGTGTCTGTGTATATTGATATAATCCGTGTCTGTGTATATTGATATTATCCGTGTCAGTGTATATTGATATAACCCGTGTCCGTGTATATTAATATAATCCGTGTCCGTGTATATTGATATTATCCGTGTCAGTGTATATTGATATAACCCGTGTTTGTGTATATTAATATAATCCGTGTCTGTGTATATTGATATAATCCGTGTCCGTGTATATTGATATAAACCGTGTCCGTGTATATTGATATAATCCGTGTCTGTGTATATTGCTATAATGCATGTCTGTGTATATTGATATAATCCGTATCCGTGTCTGTGTATACTGATATAATCCGTGTCTGTGTATATTGATATAATCCGTGTCTGTGTATATTGATATAATCCGTGTCTGTGTATATTGATATAATCCGTGTCTCTGTATATCGATATAACCCGTTGCTGTGTTGGTCGTGATATTTTTAAGGAAAAGGAATTTTAGAAAGAGTCCTTTTTTCCGATGCTAGATTGCTCAATGTTTACATGGCCTAATTTCGGATATGATGAGTGTATCTGTATTTTTGTGATCCGGTGTGTTACGGTATTTTAATGTTTAATAGTTATGCATGTTATGGTTAGTAGATATATTAACGAAATACCACATTGTGACTGTATAGTTCATCGTTTTTGACAATCCAGTTTTATATCTAGATAGTGAATTTGAGGTTCTTGTATAGCTATCACAAATTGAAATAGAATTGCTGTAAGGAGAAGCTAAAAAACACTTACCCCCTCCTAACGCCCCACGTCAACTTTTTCTCAATCTATTGAAAGATTAAGACTACTCTTTAAAAAGGAAATGTTTGCTTCAAAGTGTTCATTAGTGACCTTTAACCGTGACCGTCCACCACCAAAGTCTACTCAGATGTAGACCTTGAAAGGATGAAGCTATGCTGTGAATATGGACTAAATATGTCCATGGGTTCATGTGTAACTTGTATAAATGTTTATCACGACCGCACGGACGGACGGACGTTACAAAGTGATTACTGTAAACCCTACCTTACGTAGTTAGGAGGCGGCAAATGACACAATAAAGAAATTCTGATTATAATCCCCTTAATGATGTAGATTTCTGGAATTCTGGGTAAATAATTTACTCAGGCGAGTCTATATCTACAGTACAATGAGTATTCGTCTTGTCAGCCAGAATTCCTATATTCGATCACCAGCGGAAGCATTTAAAATGTGCCTATCAATCAGGGAAAAGATTAAAGCGACGGGAGTATGTGTTGTAGAAACAGTGCGTTACATGTAGGAAGATAGTTAGTTCCATGTCACTACTAATTATCATCGTCATTTCCCGTGTAAATGTGCCAGGAACTCCATCTCTCACCTGTTCTTTACAAACTGACAAAACGTAAGATAATTGCTGGCTTAAAAAGACTGTAAAATGTCTTTCAAACACGTAAGGTTTCTTCATTCATCACTTGCCCAACAGTGGCTATGTTAGCATGAAAACTTAAATATAAACCTAGAAACACTTAATGACAGTCAAACCTTACGAAGATGCAGTTTATGTTGCTATGACTTCAGACCTAATTACAGCTCCTTGGTGAAGAACGTTTTTTACTCCGTAAACCCTCGTTCATGTTCGATGGTTTTTATGAAGCTAGCGTCTCCTGGCAGAGCAGATTTCTCCGTTTGATGTGTGGACGTTGGAGGGTGTGCACTTACACCCTTAGATAGAACACTTGTGTTTCAACCCGAGTCTCATTCCATTTACATTAAGGTAACTAGTAGACTCTCATTAGAATGAAACACCTATCTCAACTGAAAATGTTTACTCAACATAAATTCACAACATCTATCTCTTTTAGAGTTTGTTCCTATATTTTTTGTAGGATCCATCGTTATTTCAAGTTTATGAATTTCAATCAGATATGTAGTGCAGGTGCGAACTCCGATTTGTTATATACAATAAATGACTTTGAGTATTCTATATATAAATAAGCAGCTATTTCATCAGAAAGTTGTTTAAACCAGAATACTAAACAACAATCCAATCAGCATTAACACTAAGGGTAATGTTCTGTCTAAACATCTCGATGGTATGCATTTAACTCACGTGGGCCTCCTCACCAGTCAAGATAAACCCGACCGTAAAAAGGATCACACGTGCTGTCATTTTCTTCATAGCGATATGTTTTGATTAAGGAATTATTTCACATTCACGTGAAAAAAAGTCTCTCGTGCCAGCCCGTCAGTCAACCCCGCTTCCACCAACAGATTCAACAACGGCAGAAAACACATCAGTGCCAACAGATGACAAGAAATTTAAGAAAATTCTCCCAAATCCACTATCCTAATGTTTTCTTTTTTATCGAAAAGATCAGAGCAGTATCTCTGAGGTGAGGGAAATATGACCGGAACCTTCGATCTATAAAAATGATAACTTGTGATTGTAGACAAATGATATAAAACAGACCAAACTAACACAATAAAACGTTACTTTGTACACAAATAGGCGGAAATAATGGTAGCTTACCTTCGCCCTGATTGATATTGGTGAAACTCCGGACTATGGACGATTCCGGACTGGCAAGTCGTTTGGAGGAATATTGTTTATACAGCTCCATCATATATTCCGGAGCATGATTAGATTGGTCCGTTAGTTGAATGGATTCCTCGGATTCCGGTGACATTGGTAAACTGGCTGGTAAAATATACTGACGCATTTCATCGGCACTCAATGTCGCTGACATTAAATCTATAGAGGTCGATTCAGCGTAATCCTCATAATCATCGTCGACGTCGTCGCGTCGTGTCCTCGTCAGCTGCTCTCGGGGTGGATCTACAGACAGCAGAGATCGACACTCTACAGCCTTAAGTAGCAAAATATGCACAAGAATGAACGGAGGAATTACCAGATTGGCCTTCATCGTCTGCTGAGATAGGGTGGCGCCAGACTTGTTTTACACGGCTTGTATATCCGACTAACTCGACGTAATACAATGATAATTACAACAACTTTATCAGCGAACCTTTCAGACAAACTCTGTCATCCATCTTTTGTGAGCCTGATCCGTGAGCTGAGCACACTAAGTATTGCCGTGGAGTATGACAATGTAAAACTTAATTGTATATATATCATTGTTGAGTAAGTCCTTTCTCCAACGTGTCACATTATTCGGGAATTAACAAATAACATTTTGCGGGGGTTTTCCTCCGACTAACCCCTGTCATTGTATGACGGCAACCAGATGACACCACTGTCCTGTTAACATGCCTGTAAACATAGTGTTCAATTAACATTTTTATTTTATTGCGTTTTTTATGACTGCCCGTGAAATCCATATTGGCCAAGCGGCACGTGGCAAGAGGGATAGTCCTTGCTCCACGCGTATCTGACAGGATAGTGTTCCACCCCGCTTATCTCGCAGCCCATTTCTTTTCTTCCTCAGAAAATAGTTGTTGGCATGTACTACACACCTTTTAGAAGGCTTCCTGAGATTGCCCACGTTTGGTTCACACTGTACACAACTTGCCCTCACCTGTCTCTCACAACGTTACGCTTGATAAACAGTCACATGCTTGACATTTCCACACGTCTCAACCAGTAGCTGATTTACCAGTACATGGGACCGACGTATATTCAACACTTTAGTAAAAGAATTTAGGAAGTTGTTTTGAAATCCCGCAACAATGTTAACACTGCAAATGTCACTTGATAATTGACCACGTCACTGGGCTCGATTCAAAAGATCAAAAGATGATACTGTCCGATCTCCCGGATATACAGTCACTCTTTCCGAGGAACAGGTTAGCTAAATACCACCTCCACAAAAAACCTTCTCTCTGAAAAGGGACAGCGTCCAAGTATCAGTGCAACCCGATACAACATCTCAGCGCTAGTTTCTATTGGTGTTCTGCACAATTTGAGAGGAAACACGAGCTTGCCAGAAGTTTAAAACACTTGTATTCAATTTTACATCTACAGGAACAATTTACAGAGAGCGTATTAATTTACTTGTCACAAAGGTCGTCCACACCTCCACATTTCTAGACTCTGTCGTGACAGAGCGTGTAATTTTGGTACGTCCCAGATCCAAGCTTCCGGAATTCATTACAGCTAACAACTTCTGAGAAATATTAAAATAATTTCAACTGTAATTACATTGATTTATAAACTGAATGCGGACCAGGGTAATATATATGTCGGCACCTGTAGAACTACAGTAATAGCCCGTTACGGATTGTTACCTTAACCTAAAGTCTAACTAACCCTAGTACAGTCATACTTACTACATGTGTTACACACGCCCCAATGGTTCTGCTATTACTGGGTTTAAATGGTACAGCACGAAGCTCTATATTCTGATAATTTATCAACCCATTCACGCTAAATTGGAATGAACGATTGCAATATTTCCTTCTGGAATATTTTGATACTTATGAAGCGAATCTCATATCGAAATTAATAATATCGTGTTAGATAGTACTAAAAGTGTTCCTTCTATCAACAAGTTTAATAATATCGTGTTAGATAGTACTGAAAGTGTTCCTTCTATCAGCAAGTTTAATAATATCGTGTTAGATAGTACTGAAAGTGTTCCTTCTATCAACAAGTTTAATAATATCGTGTTAGATAGTACTGAAAGTGTTCCTTCTATCAACAAGTTTAATAATATCGTGTTAGATAGTACTGAAAGTGTTCCTTCTATCAGCAAGTTTAATAATATCGTGTTAGATAGTACTGAAAGTGTTCCTTCTATTAACAAGTTTAGTGATATCGTGTTAGATAGCACTGAAAGTGTTCCTTCTATCAACAAGTTTAGTGATATCGTGTTAGATAGTACTGAAAGTGTTCCTTCTATCAACAAGTTTAATGATATCGTGTTAGATAGTACTGAAAGTGTTCCTTCTATCAACAAGTTTAATGGTATCGTGTTAGATAGTACTGAAAGTGTTCCTTCTATCAACAAGTTTAATGGTATCGTGTTAGATAGTACTGAAAGTGTTCCTTCTATCAACAAGTTTAATGGTATCGTGTTAGATAGTACTGAAAGTGTTCCTTCTATCAACAAGTTTAATGGTATCGTGTTAGATAGTACTGAAAGTGTTCCTTCTATCAACAAGTTTAATGGTATCGTGTTAGATAGTACTGAAAGTGTTCCTTCTATCAACAAGTTTAATGGTATCGTGTTAGATAGTACTGAAAGTGTTCCTTCTATCAACAAGTTTAATGGTATCGTGTTAGATAGTACTGAAAGTGTTCCTTCTATCAACAAGTTTAATGTTAGATAGTACGTGTTAGATAGAACTGAAAGTGTTCCTTCTATCAACAAGTTAATTTAATAATATCGTGTTAGATAGTACTGAAAGTGTTCCTTCTATCAACAGGTTTAATGATATCGTGTTAGATAGTACTGAAAGTGTTCCTTCTATCAACAAGTTTAATGATATCGTGTTAGATAGTACTGAAAGTGTTCCTTCTATCAACAAGTTTAATAATATCGTGTTAGATAGTACTGAAAGTGTTCCTTCTATCAACAAGTTTAATGATATCGTGTTAGATAGTACTGAAAGTGTTCCTTCTATCAACAAGTTTAATAATATCGTGTTAGATAGTACTGAAAGTGTTCCTTCTATCAACAAGTTTAATGATATCGTGTTAGATAGTACTGAAAGTGTTCCTTCTATCAACAAGTTTAATGATGTCGTGTTAGATAGTACTGAAAGTGTTCCTTCTATCAACAAGTTTAATAATATCGTGTTAGATAGTACTGAAAGTGTTCCTTCTATCAACAAGTTTAATAATATCGTGTTAGATAGTACTGAAAGTGTTCCTTCTATCAACAAGTTTAATAATATCGTGTTAGATAGTACTGAAAGTGTTCCTTCTATCAACAAATTAATTTAATGATATCGTGTTAGATAGTACTGAAAGTGTTCCTTCTATCAACAAGTTTAATGATATCGTGTTAGATAGTACTGAAAGTGTTCCTTCTATCAACAAATTAATTTAATGATATCGTGTTAGATAGAACTGAAAGTGTTCCTTCTATCAACAAGTTTAATAATATCGTGTTAGATAGTACTGAAAGTGTTCCTTCTATCAACAAATTAATTTAATAATATCGTGTTAGATAGTACTGAAAGTGTTCCTTCTATCAACAAGTTTAATGATATCGTGTTAGATAGTACTGAAAGTGTTCCTTCTATCAACAAGTTTAATGATATCGTGTTAGATAGTACTGAAAGTGTTCCTTCTATCAACAAGTTTAATGATATCGTGTTAGATAGTACTGAAAGTGTTCCTTCTATCAACAAGTTTAATGGTATCGTGTTAGATATTACTGAAAGTGTTCCTTCTATCAACAAGTTTAATGATATCGTGTTAGATAGTACTGAAAGTGTTCCTTCTATCAACAAGTTTAATGATATCGTGTTAGATAGTACTGAAAGTGTTCTTTCTATCAACAAGTTTAGTGATATCGTGTTAGATAGTACTGAAAGTGTTCCTTCTATCAACAAGTTTAATGATGTCGTGTTAGATAGTACTGAAAGTGTTCCTTCTATCAACAAGTTTAATGATGTCGTGTTAGATAGTACTGAAAGTGTTCCTTCTATCAACAAGTTAATTTAATAATATCGTGTTAGATAGTACTGACAGTGTTCCTTCTATCAACAAGTTTAATAATATCGTGTTAGATAGTACTGAAAGTGTTCCTTCTATCAACAAGTTTAATAATGTCGTGTTAGATAGTACTGAAAGTGTTCCTTCTATCAACAAGTTAATTTAATAATATCGTGTTAGATAGTACTGAAAGTGTTCCTTCTATAAACAAGTTTAATGATATCGTGTTAGATAGTACTGAAAGTGTTCCTTCTATCAACAAGTTTAATAATATCGTGTTAGATAGTACTGAAAGTGTTCCTTCTATCAACAAGTTTAATGATGTCGTGTTAGATAGTACTGAAAGTGTTCCTTCTATCAACAAGTTTAATGATATCGTGTTAGATAGTACTGAAAGTGTTCCTTCTATCAACAAGTTTAATAATATCGTGTTAGATAGTACTGAAAGTGTTCCTTCTATCAACAAGTTTAATAATATCGTGTTAGATAGTACTAAAAGTGTTCCTTCTATCAACAAGTTTAATAATATCGTGTTAGATAGTACTGAAAGTGTTCCTTCTATCAACAAGTTAATTTAATGATATCGTGTTAGATAGTACTGAAAGTGTTCCCTCTATCAACAAGTTAATTTAATGATATCGTGTTAGATAGTACTGAAAGTGTTCCCTCTATCAACAAGTTAATTTAATGATATCGTGTTAGATAGTACTGAAAGAGTTCCTTCTATCAACAAGTTAATTTAATAATATCGTGTTAGATAGAACTGAAAGTGTTCCTTCTATCAACAAGTTTAATAATATCGTGTTAGATAGTACTGAAAGTGTTCCTTCTATCAACAAGTTTAATGATATCGTGTTAGATAGTACTGAAAGTGTTCCTTCTATCAACAAGTTTAATGATATCGTGTTAGATAGTACTGAAAGTGTTCCTTCTATCAACAAGTTTAATGATGTCGTGTTAGATAGTACTGAAAGTGTTCCTTCTATCAACAAGTTTAATGATGTCGTGTTAGATAGTACTGAAAGTGTTCCTTCTATCAACAAGTTTAATGGTATCGTGTTAGATAGTACTGAAAGTGTTCCTTCTATCAACAAGTTTAATGGTATCGTGTTAGATAGTACTGAAAGTGTTCCTTCTATCATCAAGTTTAATGGTATCGTGTTAGATAGTACTGAAAGTGTTCCTTCTATCAACAAGTTTAATGGTATCGTGTTAGATAGTACTGAAAGTGTTCCTTCTATCAACAAGTTTAATGGTATCGTGTTAGATAGTACTGAAAGTGTTCCTTCTATCAACAAGTTT